ACTACTATTTTTTTAATGGTTGGTGAAGTCTATCCATTATTTTATTTTTTTAACTTTTTCTACATCTAAGATATGCAGGATGAATGGGCTGACTGGGCAGAAAATGCAGAAAATATTTAAGGCTCTTGTCCCTGAATCTGTATATAATGATCCGCGTAATTTGGTGGAATATTGTTGCTTCAGGTTTTTGTCAAGGAACAGTACTGATGTTCATCCGAGCCTCAAGGTGTGTAGACTTCCCAGCATTTTGGTGTACTCTCTCCTTCAATTTATTGATTCTGTTTCTTAAATTTATTTGGTGTATACTTCTTTTATGTAACTTCTGAATTTGGACATATGGTAATTTATCATCAAACTGATTCTTTAGGTCCACATTCTTGTGTATCTTTTATTTGTTTCGTGGGTTTAAAATATTCTTTGGGTGTATCTATGTAGGGTACTATTTTTCCAAAACAAACATGTTTTTTTTTAATATTGGACTACTTATAATTTGCTGAATCTCCTTCCCTGGTTTTGATTATGAGGGATGTATTTAGTCTCGTTCCATTGTCATCAGAAACTAATTTATTTCCATCTTAAGAACTGATGTTGTCCAATTAATAAATGATGTTAAGAGGCGCAAAGGTCGCGAACAATTCCTTTTTTTGGTTACAATTTAGCATGGCTTTTAATGTTACTCATAATTTTTTTTTTTATCTTTGCCTGATATCAGGAACCTGCATTTCAGAGACTAGCTTTCATCACCATGCTTGCATGGCAGAATCCGCACAGAAAAGGAAAAGATAGTAGGGTTAAGTCGCTTGATAAAAATACATTCCATGTAATTTTTTACCAACCCTAACTTTTTCTTATGCTTTGTAGTTTGTACAGTAATTTACATTTTTCTTACATAATCTTGGTTCATTATTCTTTTTCGTGTCATCTGTTTGCTGAACTTGAAGAGGAAGCTTGTGGGTGAAGAGGCATTCATTCGCATTGTGCCAGCTGTGGCTGGGGTGGCCGATATTCCCACTGTACATAATCTTTTTAAAGCTCTTGCTGGTGATGAGAATGGCATCTCGTTTTCTGTATGGTCGACATATATTAACGAACTTATCAAGTGAGCCATACCTTCATTTGGTTCTGATTCAACGTTTCTTTTTTGGGTTTGACGTGTTAGGTGGGTGGGTTGGGAAGAAGGACATTTTCTTGCATTATTTCTTAAATCCACTATATTCTATTCGTCATTGTACTCTCTACTATCACCTGAACCAATCCCGGTTGTTCTTGGTACTACAATAAATTTATCTTTCTTCATGCATAAATGTAAAATAAATATCAGTATTGAATACTGAACTGCTGCTTGATCTTCACTGTCTCACCTTTTTGTTTGATCCTCATTTATAGAGTGCATGAAGGTCGGAGTTCTTACCAATCTCAGGAGTTCTTGTCGAATCATTCCGAGGAGAAAATTCTATGTCTTGGTTCTAGCCGAAAGCAGCCTGTAATAAAATGGGAAAAGAACATGGCATGGCCAGGGAAGCTTACTTTGACTGACAAGGCACTTTACTTTGAGGTATTATGGTGAGCTAGTTGACTATGAGTGGTCTGTATCGTTTCAAGGATAAATCAGTGAGAATTTTGAAGTCCTCTGAAAAGCAGTTCAGCCCAAATATATATATCAACAAAAAACAAAACTAAATAACCAATAGTTGAAGAAAAGGAAAAGGTCATATGTCCTTTTTTTCATTTTTCAGTGTTACTTTTTGTTTCTTTTAGTATGTTATGTTCCACTTTGTTAGGCAGTTGGGTTGTTGGGAGAAAGAGATACTGT